CGTAAATTGGCCAAAAATTTTAACCGTTAGCCGTAAAAGCCATCACCTCATTGAAACCCTCGTATAAAAACTTAAAGTCAACATGCAATATTCAAAGCGACGGGTTTTAAGGTGTTTTCGCACCTACAGTCTCTTTTATTTGAGACGACTTTGTTCCGGAGTTTTTGCGTTCATTTACATAGTTTACATAAACGAATCCAAACTCTTGAAGGCTGTATTTTAGACGTTTGGAAATATATACATAATGAAGCAATTCAAGTTAGAGTTAATATTATATTGCCGTACTTTCTCTCGAATCGGGGTGGGGAAGCTTGATAAAAAGAGTGATTTAAACCAGAAATGCCGAAGTTTGGAGTACTATCGCAATGCACGATCATTCACCCTGGGTTTCGATGAACTTGTGGACACGCGGGAAAAAGTCTTCCATTGCTTTTGTAAAGTATATTTCCCAGAAGATACACGCGTGTTTGGGACGTCACAACCGTAGTTAGACTGTAAACATAGACTCTCATCTAAACACTTCTATTGATGACGCACTTCAATTCTTGAAAACTGCAGGAGTCTTACATCTGTTTGCCAATCAATCCGAAACGTAGACATCATAAACCCAGTTGCCCATGAAACGAAACCTATGGACGGAATGTTTCTTGAAGCCTTTCTTGTGAAATATACAGTAAGATTTTTATTTCGGCAAGATAATTTGCTCTTTTTAAAAACATTGATCTTCTTTGCACTGAAGTAGCTGATCTAATACACTGAACTATACGACTCGTATATTGATGGCTTTGTTAGAAATTCCTCATTTAAACAAATCAGCCATTTTGAAACTTAAGACTCCCAATTTGTATTTGGTTGCGATGGCTAAATGTTCTGCCTCGTTTAATGATTTTCCCTCTTGTTTTCTACCAAACGCAATAAAACGCAACGATAAAGTGGTCGAAAAAATCTCTTGACATCAAGAGATGAAAAACGGTCGCAAATTACAAACTTAAAAAATATCGTTTTACTGCGGTAGTTAGTTGTTCGTAATAAAACAATTTGATAAGAGGTCGTCTGCCCATGCAGGATAACTCGAATTGCATCGGCATGAAACCTGTTTTTAAAAAAATCGTAATATAAAAACCGCCGTCAATATTATACCGAAAGCAAACTTAAATATTTACCGGCTTGGAACCTTAAAAAAAAGCGAGTCTATAATAATTTTACTAGTAGTTTCGCCATTCGTCTTTTTCTTTATTTTGTCCTCTCATGCTTTTGCGAAGCTAGACCCCGATGTTCTAGATCCCTAATGTAACTTTGAGAGGCCTACCCCAACGCAAATGCAAATGCAAACGCAAGCGTCAATGCAAGAAATAAAATAGAGAATAACACATGATAATACATGGGTGCGCTTAGATATGGAATTTCTCTTCGAGTGTTTAACTCGACAACTCACGAGTGAGGGCAGCGAACGAGTGAGATGTCGAGTTGAACAAGTGACGAGAAATTTCATATCTACAAGCAACCATGTATTATTATGTTTTTCATATAAACACAATAACCCTTTACTGACAAGAAAAGTCGACTCTATGAATGAATGAAAATAACAAGATCGACAATCTCCGAATACAAATTGTAAAGTGCATTGGCGCACTCAAGATG